CGGACACTTCACTTCGTGGCCTGCGGACGACCGTGGCTACTACACTGGCGTGGAGTACACACCCACAGAAGTTGTTAAGCCTACGTTCGTACACCCACAGAAGTTGTTAAGCCTTGTTAACCCACAGAAGTTGTTAAGCCTTCCACAGAACATCTGTTGCATATGATGCATATGGTACATGATACACATGATACACATGATACGTACTCACAAGATAGTTGATCACATCTTTAGGGCAAATTCCTGAGGGATGTGGGAATACACAAGAGAGAGAGGATATGGTTGTCCCGATGGTTGTCTCGATGGTTGTCCCGATGGTTGTCCTGATGGTTGTGGTTGTCCCGATCGTTGTCCCGATGATTGTCCCGATGGTTGTCCTGATGGTTGTGCTTGTCCCGATCGTTGTCCCGATGACTGTCCCGATGATTGCCCCGATGGTTGTCCCGATGGTTGTTCCGATGGTTGTCCCGATGGTTGTCCCGATGGTTGTGAGCGATGCCGGATCCTCACGCCCCCCGCCGGAGGAGGAGGAGGAGGAGGAGCAGGACAAGGAGGAAAGGAGAGAAGAGAGAACGGAAGGAGGGGCGGGAACGGCGCTTGCACGCCCACCCACCGTCTTTTCCCCGCCGCGGCTCTAAAGAGACGAGTTCGTGCGCTCGTCATCTTCTGGCATACGCCCGTCCCTGATGGCACGGATGGGGCGCAATGCTGCCAGCTGGGCTCCTGGCAGAAATACATCAGGGGCCAAGTGTCCAAGCATGGTGCCGATACGCCTCCTCACGGATACATCGCCCGTGCGTGCGAGGGGCGCCAATACCGCCAGGACGCCCTGGACATGCGCCGGCATACGCAGATCCACCTGGTAATCCATGACATTGCCATACTGGGACTGCCCGCAAGAACGCCATACTGGCATGTGCCACCAATGGTCCTGCTTCGGGAAATAGGTGATACCATCGTTGACGTCGTGGGAGGCATTCCACAGAGCCATAGATTGCGGCTCAATACCCATGGGTCCCGTGTGTGTTGCCACAAATACGTCCAGGCTCGCCATGCGCCTGTACGACAGACCTGATACCACCTCGGAGTGCACGTGAATACCCAGGAGATGCAACAGCCTGCGCAAGCCCGCATACACCCAGCCGCCGGGCCCGACGAAGACGTGCGCTCTCCAGTTCGGTATACCAGCTTGGGTGCACAGCCGCTGGAATACGTCCGAAAGTGTGCGCAACCGTTGTCGCAGAAGTTCGAAAAAGTTGCTCGCAAAAGCCCGTTTGACAGAAATGTTTAAAAAGTGTTGGGTTTCCTACGAATCCGCAAGAGCGCGCGGGATGAGATTTTGACAATTTTTTGTTGAAAAACCATTGGTTTTTTGATGTTTTTATGTTAAAATCGCTGCGAACACTAAGGTTTTGGAAGGATTTCGTCTTGCGCGCGCGAATGTCCACTTTACCTTATTTTTTGCAAGGGATTCTTGAAATCCCACCAGCCCTTTAGGGCGTAGGTGGTCTAGAGAGTTTCCTCTGCCAACCCCCCTTCTTTCCCTTCGGGGAGGGGTTTACCCCTCCCCTTACCCCTCCCCACTGACCTGGACGGGGCGTTCCGCGACGCGTTGGGACGCCCAAGATGGCCCAAGACTGCTCCAAGAGCGAAAAGGCGAGAAAGCACAAAACATTGATTTTCCTTAGGTTTTGGAAGGATTTTGGCCTCTTGGGGGGGCCCAAGAGGCGATCCGAGGCACTCTAGAGGGGCGAGGCTAATTGGGGACCCCCCCTTCTTTGATAGATCTCCTCCAAGATGGCCCCAAGAGCGCCCCGAAGGCTCCCAAGAGCGCCCCAAGAGCGCCCCAAGAGGGCCCCAAGAGACCCCAAGAGGCCCCCAAGAAGCCTCCAAGAGGCTGCCAAGAGACCCCCAAGAGGCCCCAAGAGAGTCCAAGATGGCCCAAGACGGTTCCAAGAGCGAAAAGGCGAGAAAGCAAAAAACATTGATTTTACGTAGGTTTTGGAAGGATTTTGGCCTCTTGGGGGGCCCAAGAGGCGACTCGAGGCACTCTAGAGGGGCAACGCTAATTTCCGTACCCCCTCTTCTTTGATCAATCTCCTCCAAGATGGCCCCAAGAGCGCCCCGAAGGCTCCCAAGAGCGCCCCAAGAGCGCCCCAAGAGCGCCCCGAGAGGCCCCAAGAGGCGCCCAAGAAGCCTCCAAAAGGCTCCCAAGAGACCCCCAAGAGGCCCAAGAGGCTCCCAAGACGGCCCAAGACGGCTCCAAGAGCGAAAACGCGAGAAAGCACAAAACATTGATTTTAGCTAGGTTTTGGAAGGATTTTGGCCTCTTGGGGGGGCCCAAGAGGCGACTCGAGGCACTCTAGAGGGGCAAGGCTAATAAGCAACCCCCCCTTTTTTGATAGATCTCATCCAAGATGGCCCCAAGAGCGCCTCGAAGGCTCCCAAGAGCGCCCCAAGAGCGCCCCAAGAGGGCCCCAAGAAGCGCCCCAAGAGGGCCCCAAGAGGCCCCAAGAGGCCCCCAAAGCCTCCAAGAGCCCCCAAGAGACCCCCAAGAGGCCACAAGAGGCTCCCCGAGATACGCAAGAGGCCCCCGGGACCGCCAAGAGGCCCCAAAGACGGCCCAAGAGGCCCCCAAGCTCGCCATTGTCCTCCTCCTCCTCCTCCTCTTTTTCTTCCTCCTCCCTCCTCCCCCTCCCCCTCCTCCTCCTCCTCCTCCTCCTCCTCCTCCTCCTTTTCCTTTTCCTCCTTCTCGTCCTCCTCGTCCTCGCAGTCCTCCATCTCCTCCTCCTTATCTTCCTCCTCCTCCTCCTCCTCCTGCTCCTCCTCCTGCTCCTCCTCCTGCTCCTCCTCTTCCTCCTCCTACTCCGACGACGACGGCTCCTCCTACATCCTCCCCCTCTTGGGGTATATGGCGGCTCACCCCGCCCTCTGTTCTTCTGCATGCTCCCCCGCTTCCCTCATAACCTCCACTCCCCTGGGACTCATTTCTGGACGGGCTGGTGGGGATACGCGAAGCGTCTAGAATTTGATTATATTAGAACAAGAAATGTCATTTCTATTGTTTTTTGCAAGGGAAAGCGGATTACAACAAAACAACCGGATCCTGTACACACCCTCTTTTCTGAGGCTTCCTCACGAAAATGATGAAAATGTAGCTGCGGCCTAGGCGGCGCAGGGGGGGCGCGCACCAGGGGGCCCAACAATAATTATTCTTTAGAATAAATAATGTTCAACAACAACAACAACAACAACAACAACAACAACAACAACAACAACAACAACGACGACGACGACGACGACGACGACGACGACGACGACGACGACGACGACAACAACAACAACAACAAACAAACAAACAAACAAACAAACAAACAAACAAACAAACAAACAAACAAACAAAAACACCCGGAGAGAACGGGAGATCATCCGGACAACTTCAGGGAAGGAGGGAGAGTAGTATTCATTTTGTTTCATTAACTCTGGAGGAGGAGGGGGAGGAGGAGGAGGAGGAGGAGGAGACTCCCTCCGCCCCCCTGCACCTCCCCTTCCGCCCCCCACCCCCCACCCGACGGGCGACCCGACAGCCCACCCAACGCGGCCCAGCCCCGCGGCCGCCCACACGCCCTTCCCTTGGCCGCGCGCACCAAGGGGGGAGGGGGAGGGGGAAGGTTTCTTTGAAAAGAAGGCTGCTCCTTAGAAGGCGCGGGCCTTGCATCTGTAGACAAGGCCCGCACCTTCTGAGAAGCTGGGGTGCTTCTAAGAAGCCGTCCCCCCTCCCCCTACCCCCCCGCTGCGCGTGACCGATTGCCGCCGATATTCCCCAAGTCGGCGGCGAGCGAGGGGGGAAGTGAGAAAGAGAAGGCCTTCTCAGCAGGAGACGGCGGGGCTTCTCAGAAGCCCATCGCGCCCTCTGGGGCGCACTCTGCGTCTTCGGGGAAGGCTCAGATAACTTCTCAGAGGCCAATGGACTTCCGAGACCTCTGAGAAGGCCCGCCCCTTCTCACTTCCCCATTGGGCTCGCCGCCGGTGCATCGCCGACGCATCGGCGATGCGGCGCGATCCTCCGACCCCATCTACTAGGACCCCATCTGGGAGGCCTAGATCCCCAGCCTTCTGAGAAGCTCTCTGAGCCTTCTTTCTCCGAAGTCACAGGGGAGGCTCCTCGGAAGAGAAACCCCGCCGCATTATGATAAGGCCGGCCCGCACAAAGTGATTATCTTTCCCCAGTTTGGGGGCCATAGCTCGGATCTCCTGCGGCCGTTCGGGACGATCCGGGTACCCGGGACACCTCTCGGCGAGGCGCAGTCGCTGGAACGCACCCCCAGGCTGGGCATTCGCCGAGGGCCGACGAAGACGCCCGACTCCCTCGAACCTCAAAACTCCCAAAGCTCAGCGGCGAGCGAGGAGGGGTGGAAGTGAGACGGAGGAGGCCTTCTCGGAAGGCGGCGGGGCCTCTCAGGCCCCCCCCCCGCCCCCGGCCTTCTGAGAAGTCTTCTCTGCGTCGTCGAGAGAGGCTCAGAGAACTCCTCAGAAGGCGGGGGGGGGGCTTCCGAGCCCTCTCAGAAGGCATCCAGCACCTCACCTGCCCACCCACCCCCCAGGCTCGCCGCCGACAAGCTCCTGAGCATCGTTTCACCGATCCCGATCCCCACTGGAGTGGCCTGGGCCCCACCTGGCCGATTCGCCCCCGATATGGGGATACAGGCGGTTCCCTGCGGGCTTCGAGGCGCACATCCCCACCTGGGGTGGTGGGGTGGTGGGGACCGGGATGGGGATGGGAATGGGGATAGGGTTAGGTCGGGCATGTCCCCCTACAGGGGGATTTGGGGCAAAAAAGTTGTAATACACTAAACAAAAAAAAATGCTCAAAAATAGTCCAGGCCCGACTTAAGGACAGGGATCGGCGAAGCGATGCTGAGCTCCCCCGCCCCCCTCGGCGCGCCGCCGAGCGGCGGCAGGGCAGCTGGGGGCGGCCCCCTCCCCCCTCGAAGGCCGTCCTCCGCGAAGACGGGGCCCCGCGCACGCCCGCCCTGCGGCTTCGGCACCGAGTAGATGGAGCCCTCGCGGCACCGGGAGCCGAGGGGGGCAGGGCCGGGCAGTGGGGGAGAGGAGGTCCTCCTGCTTCTTCTCCTTAGTCCTCGTCCTCATCCTCCTCCGTCATCCTCCCGTCTGTATACTTCCTTGCATAACCGTTCTCGCCGCTGATATCCGCCACCATGCCCAAGAGGTCCCCAAGAGGCCCCAAAACGGCCCCCAAGAGGCCTCAAAACTACCTCCAAGAGGCCCTCGAGAGGCCTCCCACGAGATTGCAACGAACATGCCCTAGGCGTATAACCCACAACCCAGGCACGTTGGCGGGATTTGCCGTAGGCAGCTGGATTGATAATAATATTCTGAGCGTACGATTCTGCATATGACTATTACCAGTAGTAGCCACGTGTTTCTTATGAATGGTCTGATTGTTAGACGTTAGACTTCTCATTGGTACCGCTAGTATTGATCACACTGCATGTCATGATATTATGATTCACCATTCGCCGTAGTGGTGTCGCTCATATCCGTCGCATTCGCAGTGGTACTCTTCATGTTTGACATTCGTGTTAGCATCACCACGAGTACTGGTATCACGCTTACTTCCACTACTAGTATCACGCATCATCATCATCATCATCATCATCATCATCATCATCATCATCATCATCAGCAGCAGCAGCAGCATCATCATCAGCAGCAGCATCAGATCATCATCCCCATTATCAGAATCATCATCAGCAGCATCATCATCGTCGTCATCGTCATCAGAATCAGTATAATCATCCTCATTATCAGCATCAGCATCAGCATCATCATCAACATCATCATCAGCAGCATCACCATCATCATCATCATCATCATCATCATCATCATCATCATCATCATCATCAGCAGCACCATCATCGTCATCGTCATCATCATCAGCAGCATCAGCGTCATCATCATCATCATCATCATCATCATTCATTACCATCACCAGCATAATCAGCATCAGCATCAGCATCATCATAACCACCAGCATCACCATCATCATCATCATCGTCGTCATCATCAGCAGATTCATCATCATCAGCAGCATCATCACCATCACCATTCAGCACCATAACCATCATCATACCCAGAGTCATCACCAGCATTATCATCACCACCATCATCAATAGCATTAAAATCAGCATCATCAACAGCATCATCATCACCAACATCATCATCAACATCCTCACCACCACCATCATCATCATCATGCTCCTCCTCCTCCTCCTCATCCTGATCATCATCATCATCATCATCATCATTACCATCATCATCATCATCATCATCATCACCATCATCATCATCATCATCATCATCAGCAGCAGCATCATCAGCATCATCATCAGCATCATCATCATCATCATCATCATCATCATCATCATCATCATCATCATCATCATCATCATCATCATCATCGTCGTCCCTCCCTCTTCCTCCTCCTCCTCCTCCCTCCTCCTCCTCCTCCTCCTCCTCCTCCTCCTCCTTCTCCTCCTCCTCCTCCCCTCCTCCTCCTCATCCTCCTCCTCCTCGTCATCCTCCTCTTCCTCCTCCTCCTCCTCCTCCTCCTCCTCCTCCTCCTCCTCCTCCTCCTCCCCCTCCCTCAACCTCCTCCTCCTTCTCCTCCTCCGTCTGTCCCTCCTCCTCCTCCTCATTCCCCTCTTGGCTCAAGAAGGAGTGGTGGAGGAGGCCCACGAGCACACGACGACGGTGGGGCCTCGAGAGTAGAGCGGGGGTAACCTGAGAGAGCCGACGGCTCCGACGACGCGTCTCCGCGTGGACCACGGCTCCTGACGAGCCCCACGAGGGCTGCGAGAAACCTCCCAGAAGCTGCCAGTCCCAAGTCCACGCTTGTGGGCCTTCTGGCTTCGCAGCGCGCTCCTGGACCTTCCGTCTCCCGACGGCGCCCCCCTGGGCGCAGTTTCTGGAGGGTCCCGTGGGGATGCGCTGGGCGTCAGAGCAGGCTCCGGCCGCCACCCCCGCCCCACCCACACACACCCCGCCCCCAGGCGCCCTCCGACTTCTACCTCACCAAGCTTCGCGCATCGCGCGTCGTCCTCGCGCCCCCCCCTGCTCACCAGCGCCCTCCGAGCGCTCCACGCCGCCCAGGAGAGTCGTGCACCGCGCGCGCCACGGTGCGCGCCGCGCGGCCGCCCTCGGTCCTCTCGCGCCTCCAGCCCCGGAGCAGGGCCCCCCGCCGTCCCCCCCCCCAGCCCGCCCCAGCCGCACCCCCTGCTCGCGAGCACCCTCCGAGCGCTGCGCCGCCCAGGAGAGTCGCGCACCGCGCGCGCGAAGGTGCGCGCCGCGCCGGTCGCCCTCGGCCCTCCTCGCGCCCTCGCGCCCCCGGGGGAGGAAGGGCAGCCGCTCCTGCCCGGGCCGCGAGGCGCGCCAGAAAATCTGGAGTCCCGAAACGGTGCGGTGACGGACCGTGCGGTGACCTCGGAATCCCCCAAGAACTCACCGCACGGTCCGTCACCGCACGGTCCGTCACCGCACGGTCTTGGGACCCCGGAGGCCCCTGTCGCCCGAGACGTCCTCGGAGAACGACGCGAGTCCCAAAACCGTGCGGTGACCCCGAATCCCCACCGACTGACCGCACGGCGTGGCCACCACACCGTTTGGGGGCCCCCGAGAAAAGCGCGACGACCTGCGCGCCCCCGGGGGGGGGCGATGGAGTTCCTCCCTCCCTGGTATCGTTTCCTGGCGCCCTCTTCGGCACCAGGGCTCGACGTACAGTACGGTAGGGGCTCGACCACAAGAGACCGCCCACGAGAAGCCCAACCCTGAGACCCCAGGACGTCCACTGATTTCTGGCGCGGGAGCGTCACGCTTTCCATCGCATTTTTTATTTTATTTGTTTTTTTGTTCCTCGGGCCCGGGGCCACTGCTTGTTTTTTGTTTATCGTTTATAGTCGAAGAATCCGCCACCCCGCACGGGGTAATGAGTGAAAGCGACAGCAAAATAGATGAACTCAATGATCGTCATACAAGAGGCGCCTGGCTCGCGACTTCTCCGCGCCCCTCTTGACCCTGGCTCGCGACTTTCCATTGCAAAACCATCGAAACCCAAGAAGCCCAGGGCACCCTGGAGGCAAGCAGGGTGCTTCTTGGCATGGGTGCCCGCTGCAGGCTCGCGCCGTGTCGACGGGCGGCGACCCCGCCACGGACGTTCAAGGTTGAACGCCGCCGGTGGCCCAGAATCGGCCTACACCCTGCGAAATGCTTAAGAAATCATGGGTTAAGAAATTCATAGTCTCAGAATTTTGAATAAAAACCCAGAATTCCTCTGAAAATATTAGGATTTACATCGAAACATGAAGAATAATCGAGACTCTGGCCGGAAACTTAAGTTTTCTTAAGCATCGCATACGGTGTACACGGAACGACCGGGGCGATCGAAAAGCCGCCGATCGTGCAAGGTTGAACGATCCACGCGGTGTCAGAGACCAACGCCAGGATCGACTCGACTCGGACCTGCTGTAAACAGTGCTGTTCGTGTTCGCGCTGCTTTCGTTCCCCCTCGCTGCGCCTTCGCGCCGCGAAGTGCCGCAGAACGGAGTCGGAACGAACGCGGCCCACGGAATCGCACAAACACCGTGTACACCCTGCGAAATGCTTAAGAAATCATGGGTTAAGAAATTCATAGTCTCAGAAGTTGAATGAAAACCCAAAAATTCTATTCAAATCTTGAGATTTACATTGAAACATTAAGAATAAACGAGACTCTGGCCGAAAAATTAAGTTTTCTGAAGCATCGCCTAAGGTGTAGGTCGACCACACCTGACTCGTATGGCGCTCTCAAGCCCGTGCCTTTTTCAAGTGGCTCTGTCTAGCTGTCGGCCTCCGGGGCCTCTTCAGGACAGCTCTTCCCTGAAATGGCCAAGGCATGAAGGCCGCAAGTGCACGTGTGACACACTGCTGACTGCAATGCCGTGCGATCGACGAGTAGCTACACATGCAAATGACTATCAGCAATCCCCCTGCAAGGCTCCAAGACGGCGCCAGGACCACCAGAGGACGGCCGCAGGGTGTCCCCAGCAGCAGCCCGAGGCAGCCCGACGAGCCCCGGAGGCTCCCAACATGATGTTCCCTGGGAGGCCCCGGGAGGCCCCGGGAAGCCCCGAAGGGACGCTCGAAGCGACCTCAAGGAAGGCTCGGCGAAGCCAAAGACAACGAAGAACCTATGAGAGGTCGGTGGTTGCTGTTCCTGATGCTTTCCGAGTTCTGATCGTCTCGTGAGAGCCCCAGGGAGGCCCAAGCAGCATCAGAGACGGCCTAAGGTGGTCCCAGAGGTTTCCAAGATGGCCCCAAGACGGCCAGAGAACCTTCCAGACGGCCCAAGGACCGCGTCGAGAGGGCTCCAGGAAGGCCCAAAAATCGGCCCAGGCGTCCCGAAGATTATTCGACCGAGCCTCTTCGCGGTAGAATCATTGCGTCAAAGACGACCTGAAGGCCCCCTGACAGGCCCCCCGACAGAATAGTCACCAAAAGACTTACAAGAGGCCCTAAGAGAGCCCCAATGTTCACAGAAGGCACCCGGGAGAAGCCTCCAAGAGGGCATCCAGAAGGAGGGCGGAGGGGGCAGGAGGGGAAGGAGGAAGAAGAAGGGATGAGGAGAACGGGACTCAGAACCAGAAGAGCGTGTTTGAGGTCCGAGGACCGCGTCACGTCAGACAGGACGCACAACCCGAGCGGGCCGCGAGCTCGGCCACCTCCGTATACTGTGCTTCTGCGTAGGTACGGCGACGGGGTTTCGCCGCAGGCAGCTGAACAATTCCTGGACGGGCGATGAGGTGGGAAGGGAGGAAAGGGGGTCGCGAGGCGAATGGGAGGGGGAGGGGACAGGGGATGAGTCAGTACGGCTGCGGACGCATGCTGCAACTGGCGCAGCCTGAGCGCGTCACCGCGAGCGCGCCGGCCATTCGCAGACCATCCATCGCGGTGGCGTCAAGGAATCGGTGGGAAAACAATGCTGCTGGAGAGGTTATATACTTGACTTCGGGCCATCGGACACAATCGATGACAGGACGGTGTGCTCCATCCCGGCGTGGTGCTCCCACGCGAAGCCGAGACGGCCAGTCGTCCCCTGGGACCGTGGCAGCTCTGGCGAGGGCTGGGCGCGCAGAGCCCTCCCAGGGGAAGGCACAGCGGCAGCGCAGAGGCCGCAAGGATATGGCACCCGACGAGCGGGCGGGAGGACTGACTACTTACCAGACCACCCCAACCCAACCCGAAGACCCGAATTTCGGGTTTGGGGGGGTAAGGGTTCCACATGTGTCTTTTCGATGTTTCCCGACCCCCCCCCTCTGGAAATCGAGGGTAAATCTGAGCCTTCGGGTTGGGTTGGGGTGGTTTGGTGGGTGGTGAAGGACGGGGTGCACCCGCCGGGCTCCCGCACCGAGAGGAGCACGCCGCACCCCCCGCGCGCGCGCAACGGCAGGCGAGGTCGCGCTCGGCGCGTGCCTTGAGCTTCATCTTGCGCCCGCTGTTCACGGCCGTCGGCACGCCGTCCTCGCCGACGATGATGGGCACGCGCTGGGGAGGGCTGTTTGATCTGCTGGGAGAGGCGGGCTCGGAACGAATAGGGGGCCACACGCGAACCCTACCCCTGCCCCCCACGATTTCTGAGGGTGGGGTTCACTTCGTTCGGGGGTAGGGGTAGGGGTAGGGGTAGGGGTAGGGGTAGGGTAGGGTAGGGGTAGGGGTAGGGTAGGGGAAGGGGTAGGGGGTAGGGGTAGGGGTAGGGTAGGGGTTAGGGGTAGGGGTAGGGTTCGCGTGTGGCCCCCTACCGAAGAGGAGGCGCGCAGCCACCGCTGGGAGAGCAGCCCCCCCCCCCTTCCGCCATCCGAAGCCACCCGGAAGCGTGCGGGAACCTCCTCGGCCCTCCGAAGGGCCTCCGACACACCCGACAACAGTCCGAGCAACAATAAAACCTCCCATCCCCTCTCTGTTGTTGGACCAGCCGCAGGAGCCCACCGCCATTCCCCCTCGGCATCACCACCATCACCATCACCATCACCATCACCATCACCATCACCATCACCATCATCATCATCATCATCATCATCAACATCATCATCATCAGCATCATCATCATCACCATCATCATCGTCATCATCATCATAATCATCATCAGAAGTAGCATTGGCATCTTCATCAACAACAATATCAGCATAATCACAACCATCCGCATAGTCATCATTATCATCATCAACATCCACATTAGCATCAGCGTCAGCATCATCATCATAGTTAATCATCATCATCGTCATCATCGTCATTAACATCATCATCAACATCATCATCATCATCGTCATCATCATCAGCATCATCATCATCATCATCGTCAACCTCACCAAATCATCGTCATAATAAGCGTCATCATCATCAGCAGCATCATCATCATCACAGCATCAGCATCAACATCATGATCCGCGTCATCGTCATCATCAGCGGCAGCAGCATCAACATCATCATGATAATCATCACCGTCATCATCAGCATCATCATCGTCAGCATCATCATCCCAGCCATCCATCAGCATCATCATCGTCACCATCAGCATCATCGCCAACAGCATCATAAGCAGCAGCATCATCATCACCATCATCAGCAGCATCCTCAGCATCATCATCGGCATCGTCATGAGCAACATCACAATCAGCAACAGCAGCAGCATCATCCCCATCATCATAACCAGCATCGTCGCCGTCGTCGACAACTTCATCATTATCATCATCATCATCATCAGCAGCATCATCATCATCAGCATCATCAGCATCATCAGCATCATCATCATCATCATCATCGGCATCGCCATCGTCATCATCATCATTTATCATCAGCAGCAGCATCACCATCACCAGCACAAGCATCGTCGTCGTCGACGTCGACGCCACTATCACAATCCTAATGAGCATCACCATCATCGACAACAGCAGAAGCATCGGCATCATCATCAGCAGCAGCATCATCACCGCCACTACCACCACCACCACCACCAGCATCATCATCATCATAATCATCATCAGCATCATCATGAGAATCATCATCATCATCATCATCATCATCAGCATCATCATCATCACTAACATCAGCATCATCACCACCATTGTCAGCATCGTCATCGTCATCATCACCAGCAGCAGCATAATCATGATCGTCAGCAGCAGCATCACCAGCATCATCACCATTACCAGCATCATGAGCATCATCATCATCGTCATATACAGCACTGTCATCGTCGTCGTTGTAATCACCCTCCTCCTCATCATCATCATCAGCGTCATCATCATCAGCAGCAGCATCATCACCACCATCCTCGTCGTCATCACCAATAGCATCGTCATCATCAGCATCATAATACTCCGCATCATCAGCAGCAGCATCAGCTTCATCATCAGTACCCTCAGCATCATCACCATCAGCATATCATCGCCATCTTCATCGTCAGCAGCAGCAGCAGCATCATCATCATCATCATAATCACCATCAGCATCAGTATCAGCATCATCATCGTCGTCATCCTCATCAGCAGCAGCATCAACATCATCATGATAATCAGCATCGTCATCATCATAATCATCACCATCACCACTATCAGCATCATTCTCATAAGCAACATCCTCCACATCAGCATCGAACAGCATTATCATCAGCAGCAGCATCATCATCGTCATCATCTTCATCACCATCATCACACTCATCATCACACTCATCATAATATACCTAGTATTGTTCATCGTTGTCATGCTCACCTCATCCTCATCAATCCCTCCCTGCTCTTCTTCCACCTAGTCGAGCAGCCTGGCGGACTGTCCCAGGGCACGCTGGCTGCCACACCTGCGAGGCCAACCAGTCTTGGAAGTTCGCATGAAGGAAGAAGTAGAGGAGTGTATAAGTGGGCGAGCAACGACATATGTACATGTACGCCCTCCGCGGTCTTGCCTGCACGAACGTCCGCGTTGAACCGCACTCCAGGGGAAACTAACCGCGTACGTGTACATATGTTGCTGGCCTCTGAATAAGGGGAGGGGAAATGGAGGGGGACGGGGGGAGAGCGATGGCGAGAATGGCGGCAGGGAGGACAGAGGAAAAGGAGGTAAAAGATGAGACAGGAGAAAGGTCATTTCTCCTCCTTATCTCCTATATCCTTCCTCTTTCTCCTCCTCGTCCTCGTTCCTTTCGACAAGGAAGGGGGGATCAGGAGGAGGAAGAGGAGAAGCAGCAGCAGGAGGGAAAGGCAGCAAAAGGAGGAGACCCCACGGCGCATAGACGCTACACGGCACCTGGAGAGCGAAAACATCTTGATACGGGTTTGGGATAGATTCGAAAACAAGTTCGTTGTTGGGGAGGAGAAGGAGCGGACACCACCATGCCAAAGTCCCACCGTGAAGCATGCCTGCTGAGAGCTCTGTTCCTGCCTACTACGTTCGTGCGACACGGCCAGACAAAAGGTCAGAAGAACACCCTTCAAGAACGTGAGACCCTCCAGGAGGCACGAGAGCATCTCACAAACAAGAAGAACATCAGAGTAACCGAATACCTTCGAGAATAAACACTAGGGGATAATAAAGTTCGGGGTTCAGGGGGGAGATAATCAAAGTAGCCCACCAGACCTCAGCATAATCTCGAAGTAAGAGATGCTCAAGAGGAGACCAAGCCGAGCACGTTTTGAGGCATCCTTGGCGTTTAGTCTTCATAGAAATATCCTCAACAATGGCTTATCTCGCTGGAGACATCCTCGACAAATCCCTTGTTTCGCTTGAGACATCCACAAACTATTGCTTATTTCGCTTGAGACACCGTCAAACTATTGCTCATTTCGCTTAAGAAACGTGTCGTTTCGCTTGAGACATCCTTCAGTACATGCTTGTTTCGCTTGAGACATCCTCGAGTATATGCTTGTTTCGCTTGAGACATCCTCGGAATAGCTCATCCGCCTCGGTGTCCCTGGATAATCAACCGCGGCGATAATAAAGTTCAGGCGGGCGGAGGAATGGAGAAAGCGATATACAAAAACAAAAATAAAAAGAAACAATAATAAATGAAAAAGAAAAAGGAAAAACATCAAAAATAAAAGAAAACAGAGGATGAGGAGAAAGAGAAGGAAAAAACTCAAGTTCAAATGTATTAGATTTTATTTACAAACGCTTTATGAAAATTAAAAAAGTTTTAAGTGCTCGTGTAGGGTAGCTCATGTGCTTCATTTTCCATGGATAACCAACCCCAGGGATAAAAAAGTTCAGAGGGGGGCATGGAGAGAGAGAGAGAGAGAAAGAGAGAGAGAGAGAAAGAGAGATACATCATAAAGAAAAAGAAAGGAAGGACTTAAAGAGAGAATATATGTTTAAAAAGAAAAGTAGAATAATAAATGATAAGGATAAAGAGAGGAGGAAAGGAGGATAAAACAACAAAAACTGAAGATTCAAATGTATTAAATTTTATGTACAAACGCTTCATGAAAAAACAAAAAAATTAAGTGCTCGTGTAGGGTAGCTCACGTGCCTCGTTTTCCCTGGATAATCAACCTCAGCGATAAACAAGTTCAGGGCGCCAGGGGGAGGAGGAGGAGAAAGAGATAGAGAGACAGAGAGAGAGACAGAGAGGCCAGGAAGGAGAAAGAGATAGAGAGACAGAGAGAGAGAGAGAAAGAGAGACAGAGAAAGAAAGAAAGAGAGACAGAAAGAACTACAAAGAGACAGAAGGACATTGGTTTCGCTTGAGACATCCTGAAACAACGTGTTCGCTTCGCTTGATGTTGTTATCTCAACATAAGAAGGAAGTAACTTCGATCGCGAACTTTTCCCGTGATAATGAAGTTCGGCCTCCGCGCCCCCGCGCCCCCGACCAAACTCTTATTGGTCGACGATAAAAAACTCTAACGACTTAAGGGGGGGGTACTTTATTCTCATCGGCATGCGGTTACCCTCCCCGAGGTGACCTCGATCTTGTGCCTCGGAGGAGAAGGGGAAGGAGGAGGAGGAGAGGAAGGAGGAGGGGAAGGAAGAGAGGAAGGCGGGAGGAGGAGGAGGAGAAGGAGCAGCAGGAGGAGGCAGCAGGAAGAGGAGCGGGCGGAGGCCCGCAAAAAACAGCCCCTCGCGCCGCGGGGGGGGGGGCCCTCGGGCGCTCCTGGACGGTGTCGTTGCCGCACTTGGGGCAGAATATCCTCTGCGTGTCGCGGGTGAAAGCGAAGCAGGCCTGGCTCGCGCCGTCTCCCGTGCCTCTGGTGTCTACGCTCTAGCCTCGATCGCAACCACTATGTCACAATGCCCTCAACTGCACCAGCTGCTGCCGTGGCCGGAACCGTCAGAAGAACTAGCAGTGCCAATCGCACCTTGTTGTGCGCAAGCCATGCGGTGCGCCTTCTCAAGCTCGCTTTACCGACATCGCTGCTACCACCACAACCGCCAACGTCGCTGGCTATAGCTACTCGTGCGACGGCATCGGTGAAGGTGTTGGAGAGCAAAGTTAGTAGTGATAGCGGCCGTGATGCTGGGGGGGGAAAACAAAAAAAAAAAAAAAAAAAAACATGTTGTTACATGACTATGACTACAGCCACTGGCAAAATGTACTGCATTCTACGATTAAAATGTCGACGCACATGTTACGTGTGCCCCCATGAAAGCGCTGCACCTACGAAATGCAAACACGACAACATGCGGGAGCACGCCATGAACGACAGCTTCATAACTGTTGCTCAGCGTATAGCTATCCCATGAGTTCTGTCATCAGGACAGGTGTCCTGATATCGGCATCCTCCACGTCACAGATAAAATCTCCGACACCCATCTCGACTTGACTCGTCGTCAGCATCGCCAACGTTATCACTGCCACAAGAATCACCTCCAATACTTTTGAACAGTTTGCTCACATCGGGCACCCGCGAACATTGGATTACAGATCTGTGGATCTGGCACGAGAGCGCCAGATCCACGGATCGGGGAAAGCACCCCCCGAAAAACCGTGAAACGGATGCCGCCGGATTTGGCGGCGGAGCGCGTCGATGTCGTACGGCAAGGGGGCCAGACGCTGGTCCACGCGCCTTCGAATGCACGGTTGCGTTGCCTCGTTCACGGCCCGACTACACCGCGGCACTCTGCTCCGCACGAGCCTCTGCCCGCCCGCCGAGGCTTCTCGCCCCCGAAGCCCTGCTCTGCGCTCTTCCGCTCCGCTGGCCCACTGCCGCTTCCCGCCCCCGGCAGCCGAGTGACCCTGCACACGAGGCCCCACAGCTTGACATTGCGCACCTATCGGGCGGAGGGGCGTCAACACAGCACTATTGAGGGGCAGGGGCAACGAGGGGGAGGGCACAAAGGGCATCTGGGGAAAGACGGCGATTCATGTGTACATGCGCAGAGAAAGAAGAATGCGAAGTGCTGCGGAGAGCGAGAAGGGTGCAGGCGGTAGACGAGTGCCGTCGTATACGCTCTGGGGTGTTACACCAGCGCGAACGCACGCTGGAAGCTCCACGGGCGCAACATATTCAATCTGCGACCAAGATCACCTCCCCCCTGGCATCGCCCGATCTGCTCTTTGCCCTCCGCTCTGGGGAGACCAAAAGATACCGATACCTCTACTTCCTGGACCTCTCCTGAGGTACGTTCTGGCCAGAAGTTCGAAAAGAATCCGGCCGTGGTGACGAGGGCTCTCCAGGACGAGCAGCGGTATCGATACCTCTTCCTTCTCTAAGCTCCCCACCCTCCGCTCTCTCCCTCCCTCCCTCCCGCCTCCCTGCCCCTCCACAACGCAGGTGCGGGACCGAACGGTACGTGGCGCGCTCCCCCCTTCCTTCCCCGCCAACGTGGGCCCACAGGTAGATGTGTCCCCCCTCTGATCAGGGACCGCTCCGCTTCCAGCCTTTGACGACGAGGGACGGGTGGCGGTATCGGTACCTCTTATCGCGTAGTCCCGTCTCTGTCGGGGAGGCGACGTGACCGACACTGTGCCCGAAAATCTGCCCGAATGTGACCGACACTGGCGCCCAGAAGTTCCCGACCGCGCCCGAGTGTGACCGAGATGTTCGGGTCGAAACCAAAACGATTTCGTCAAATGCGGTGGCAGTTTCGGGCGCACTACGTTTTCAGTCACAATGTCGGGCACGTCAGCTACCTTGTCGGCTGATAGGGTTAGAGAGTCCAGGGTTCGCCAGGAATTGGCTTCCTGTCCGCCGAAACCCTCCCGAAACCCTCAGAACACCCTCGGGGAAGGGCTCCGGGAGGCTCTTCGGAGGGCTTCGGGGGGTTATTGGAAGGGTTTTCGTCGTTCTAGTGGGAAACCAGTCCCTAGCGAACCCTGGGCTTTCTAATGAGAGGGGCCGGGTGCCATGACCTGTAGCCTTTTTTGTTTGTTTTGTCCCGGGAGGGGCGCTGTGCACTCTAAATATTGCGTTCTGATCGTATTCACAATGAGAGCGTGCTGAGGTGCAGGAGTGTGGCAAGCGCCGAGGCCTCCCAGAATGACGGAAAGGCTCCTGACGGCGAAACAGCATGCGACTGAAACATCGCAAGAGATAGTGGCTGTCGAAAGCCCAGGCATTGAGTAGGAGTGGCGGATAAACGACCTTGGGGGTCGGCCAAGAGGGGGGCGTCCAAGAGGGGGGGGGGGGGGCAACTCATGGCCGGCGGCATGTGCGCGGCCCAGGGGGGGCCAGGGACGTAATGAAGTAAGAAGAGGCGCCTTGAAATCTGGGGAGATACCATGGCCCCCGCCGTGATATCCACCCCCCCTAGTCATCGCCCCCTTCTTGACCGCCTCCGAGACCTTAGAGGCCTCCTAGATGGGGTCCGAGCAGATGGGGTCGGAGGATCCCACCGCACCAACGATGCATCACCGATGTGTCGGCGATGCATCGGCGACGTCGGCGATGCATCGGCGACGTCGGCGTGGCAAAACACGAGCTCCACATCGAGCCGCATCGCCGATGCATCGGCGAGATGCGGCGCGATCCTCCGGACCCCACCTACTCAACTCCGACCCCATCTAGGAGGCCTGGAGACCTGTAGCCCTTTGTGGGCCCCGGAAACGGCAGGGCCGTTTTTTCACCGTTTCCAAAAAAATGTCCCTTAAAAAATGGAAACGGCAAAAAAACGGCGACCGAAAACGGCAAAGAAACGGCTCCAGGATTGGAACCGGAGCCGGAACCGGTCAAAAAACGGCGACGGGACCGGTAAAAAAACGGCGTCGGATTGGCGAGAAAACGGCAAAACGGAAACAGTAAAAACACGGCCCTGTCGTTTCCGGGGCCCACTAAGCTGCAGCCTCCTCCTGGGGAGCAGGCCGGGCGCTGACCCCGCCCCGGCCCATGGGGCGGCCTCCCCGAGGAGGCAAGGGGCGCCCGGGCGGTGGACGAGAGCCCGGCAGGGGCCTCGGAGGGAGGGCACCCGTGCTCCACGCCCAGCCCCCAAGAGGGGCACGAAGGGAGGAGGAGGAGGAGGAGGAGGAGGAGGAGGAGGAGGACGACGACGACGAGGACGAGGAGGAGGAGGGAGGAGGACGAGGAGGAGGAGGGAGGAGGAGGAGGAGGAGGAGGAGGAGGAGGGAGGAGGAGGAGGAGGAGGAGGAGGGAGGAGGACGAGGAGGAGGAGGAGGAGGACCAGGAGGAGCTGGAGGGTGCCCCCCCCACGCTCTGGACGCTCGAAGTGTGTGCGGAAAAGGTAGGGACGCTGCCCAACAACAAGTGCTGTCAAAAACCGACAGCGGCCGCTGCTGGGCAGGCGGCCGTCCGCATCGAACGGACCACGCCCGCGGCGACACCGACCGCGAGCCCTGTGCAAAATGGACCAGAGATGCTGGCGGTCTCTGCACCCCCTCTCTCCGTATCCGTTTCGATCGTCCCGACGCGCGACCCCCGGCGCCAGCAGCAGACAAAAGCGACGGCAGGAGGCGGTGCGCAGGTCGGGCGTCGCCCTCGACCCTCGAGGAGCGAGGGGGGAGGCGCTCGGACGCCTCCGGGGCAGTGCTTCGAACGTCTCGGGCGCTCTTCGAGCCTGTGGGGGGCCTGTCGGCCACACGCGGGAGTGACCTCAGGCAAAGGTGGCCTTTGGCAGGCGGCTTCGGGGAGCCGCGGGGACACCAAAATCCAGCGTGCAGGCCAGCGCTGGTGGGACCCCTGTGGACCCGCACCACAAGGTCACTCTTGCGAAGGGTCGCTCTTACCCGTCGGTCGGACGAGGCAGGTAGAAGCATCAAGCAGGGAGGCGTTGAAGATAGATTGGGCTTCCGCCCGCCCCCTGAAGAGGAGCGAAGAGGGAGAACCGCTCCACTCTTGAAGTAGGAAAGCGCCCAAAGGCAATCAGGATCTGGGCATCCGACAAATGCCTACTTCCAACGACCGTCGTGGACACGTGGCCGAGTCTTGGGGCCATCCCACGCCCCCATAGCCAGCCATCGGCCGGACCGTGGCGGCAACCGCTCCCAGCTCGCGGGGAGCGCGAGGCCCCCCCTCACAAGAGGGGGGCGAGGGAGGAGGGAGAGGAATGGAGGGAGGAGGAGGAGGAGGAGGAGGAGGAGGAGGAGGAGGAGGAGGAGAGAGGAGGTAGAGGAAGAGAGGAGGAGGAAGAGGAGGAGGAGGAGGAGGAGGAGGAGAGGAGGAGGACGGAGGAGGAGGAGGAGGAGAGAGGTAGGGGAGGAAGTGGCGGAGGAGGAGGAGGACGAGGAGGTAGGGGAGGAAGTGGCGGAGGAGGAGGAGGAGGCCTCTCCCTCGTTGGCCCCCCCCGAGGCCCGCCGCGTAGCCGTCGAAGGTCAGCGGAGTGATGCCCATCTGCAGCAGCACGTTCTGCACAGAGGCCGCGAACGCCCGCGCGGGGGCGTTGAGGGCTGGCGCTCGCGGCCGAAGTGACACGCCGCCCATCCTCGGTTGTCCCCTCACCCTTCCACTGCGCCTCCGCCCACCCCCGCTCCCCCTCTTCTCCTTCTCCCTCTTCCTCTCCCTCCTCCTCCTCCGCCGCCTTCGCCCTCCTCTCCTCCTCCTCTCCTCCTCCTCCTCCTCTCCTCCTCCTCCTCCTCCTCCTCCTCCTCCTCCTCCTCCTTTTCCGCCGCCTCCTCCTCCTCATCCTCCTCCTCCTCCTCCTCCTCCTCCTCCTCCTCCTCCTCCTTATCCAACACCACCACCATCACCACCTCACCTCCACCTCCACCTGCACCCCTCCTCCCTCTGCTCTTTCTCCGCCTCCTCCGTCCTCCTCCCTCGATCCCCCTCCCTCCTCCCTCCCTCTGACCCCCCACCCCCATCCCCGGGAGAGCCGCCAGGCAACACCGATAGTCGGCCGTGGCGCACGTGACCAGCTCGCTCGCGGAGAGCACGCTGGCGCCCATGCCGAAGCGGTCGAAGTTGTCGTGGGTGACCCACTCGCCCGCGCTGCTGCCGTCCTCCTCCTCCAGATCCTCGCTGCCCTCGCCGGGCTCCTCGTCCTCCCAGCCGTCGCTGTCGACGGCACCCTCCTCCTGCGCCTGGGGGGGGGGGGGGGGGCGGCCCCAGCTGGGGAGGAGGAGAGAGGGGCGGCCACGAGGAAGGGGAGGGCAGACGAGGGAGGAGCGCAGAGGTCAAGCAAGAAGAAGGCATGTCTTCCGTCGCAGCACGGCACAGGCGACCCGCTCGCGCGCTCTAATAGCCCATGGCGCGTGGCGCTAACCGGCCGCAAGAAAGGGAGAGCAGGAGGGCAACAGGAAAAGAGAGGAGAAAGAAGAGAGATCCGGAGGAGGCGGAGGAGGAGGAGGAGGCGAGGAAGAACGGAGGAGGGGGATCGGGAGGAGGCGAGTCAAGAGGGGGTCAGCCAGGAGGAGGGGGAGGACCAGTGGGGGGGAAGGGAGGAATAGGAAGAGTGGGAGGAGGAAGAAGAGGAGGACGAGGACGACAAGGCGAAGAGGGGGGAAAGATGTGTACAAGGGGGAAACGATGACATGCAGGAGAAGGGGGGAGGAGGAGGAGATGAAGACAGGGAACGAATACAAGGAGGAAGTTGGGGAGGGGAAGGAAAGGGAGGAGGTCGAGGGAAAGGAGATATGTGAGGATGAGGAGGAGGAGGAGGAGGAGAAGGAGGAGAAGGAGAAACGAGGCGGTGGAAGGAAGAGGATGGGAAGGGGACACGGAAGAGGAGGAGGAGGAGGAGGAGGCCCAAGACGAAGAGGACGAGGGCGACCTCCTCCCCCTAGTCCCTTGCCGCGTCCTGCTCCTTTTCCTCCTCCTCCTCCTCCTCCTCCTCCTCCTCCTCTTCCTCCTCCTCCAGTTGCTCCTCTTCCTTCTCCTGCTCCTCCTCCTCCTCCTCCTCCTCCTCCTCCTCCTCCTCCTCCTTGTTTAAATGAATCCGCCCGGCCGCACCACCAGACATGTCGTTAACGCGGGCCAGGCGTTTCGTTGGAGCCTTCCTCCAAGCTTACGAGATGAACGCATAAGATTCCCCACGGCCACGCGAATCTTGGGAAGGTCGTGTTCAAAATGGGGCTCTCGCCTTGGCGATAAGCACACTCGCCCAGCAAAATTCCACCAGCCACACGGATGGAGAGCAAATCCCTTTTTCGTTACAGACGGTGTCGCGTGAGACTTCCTCCATTTTAGCAAAAGACGATCGCACTTGTGGAACCGATACACGGAGGGAAGGCGATTCCGTTTCAAAGCGGCCTCGAAGTTGAGATTTCCCCAAACGCAATTACCAAGAGCACATACCTTTGCAACAGTTACACAGATGGGGAGCATCTGATTATCAAAATGTGGCTCTCGCCTGACGCTTACGCTCGCGGTCGAGACGTCCTCAAACACGATTGCCAGGCGTACTAGGTGTGCAACATTTACACAGGGAGGGCGGCTCCTTTCCAAAATGAGGCCCTCGCCCGGCATTTCCTCAGCTGGCATCACAAGACGCTATCCCCGGATTGAGGGCGACCTCTCTTCCAACGGCGCTCTCGCTCGAGAAGTCCTTGGACCCCTTACGACCAGAGGCACGTGCTCCATGGAGGGGTGGACTGTTTTTGTAAAGGCGGGGAGCTGTCGCGGGACAGTCCCTTCCATTGTGCGGCCCCACCTCGTCGCACGCCTCGTAGTTCGAAGGATGTAGAGCAAACCTCCGGTTCTCGAAATGGAAGGGCGGTCCCATGGGGCGCTGGCCGGTCAGGGGGGCGCTTACCGCAGAGGAGCAGAACGGCCGCAGGGGCTTATGAGAAGCATCCTGGGACGGGAGGGTGTGCTCCAGCATCGTTGGTACATCTTTGATCGACTCCGATCCTGCTCCTCTTCCTCCTCCTCCTCCTCCTCCTCCTCCTCCTCCTCCTCCTCCTCCTCCTCCTCCTCCTCCTCCTCCTCCTCCTCCTCCTCTTCCTCCGCGCCTCTTGCTTTAAGATCCTTCGTCCCAGCCGCACCACGAGACGCATCGTGAGACTTCCTGACAACGTACGAAGTGGAAGCGTGAAGTGGCGCGCGAGCACGCGGATCCTTGAGGCATCGTTTTCAACTGGAGCTCTCGCAGTGGAGCCGCTCACACGTGTCAAGTGGTAAACCCAGCAACCACACGGATGGAGGGCAGTTTCCTGTTCGTTACCGACTGTATCACGTGAGATTTCCTCCGTTCCGTACAAGACGGTAGCATGTGTGGAGCGGATACACGGAGGGAAGGTGACTCCTTTTCAAAGCGGGCTCGAAGTTGAGATTTCCACAAACGCAATTCCCAAGCACACATGCCTGTGCAACAGCTACACGGATGGGGAGCGTCTGATTATCAACATGTGGCTCGCGCCTGCCACTTACGCGATTTAGCCACACAAGACGTTACACGGATTGAAGGCGATCTCTTTTCGAACGGGACCCTCGCTTGAGAAGCCTTTAGATTCTACGGCCAATAACACGACCAATAATGTCTCATGCTGCACATGCTGCGCGGTGGAGGGCGTTGGTTTTCAATGCGGAGCTGGCGCTGGACACTTCCGTGTGAAGTGTACGGCCCCATCTCGTCGCATCCCGTGTGGCTCGGAGGGCGTACCGCAACCCCAGCTCAGAGTGGAGCGCCCACCCGAATGGCGGTCCCCTGGGGCACTGGCCTTTCAAGGGGGCGCGCACCGCAGAGGAACAGAAGGACTTGGGACTGGGTGTGTCGCAGCATCGTTGGTACATTTCGGGTTGGCCCTGGCCCTCCTCGGCAGACTCGCTTCAGCAATCCCCATTCCAAACATTACGATCGCCTGAAACAGTCCCAGCTGTTTTGCAAGGTCTCCCCCGCGCCTTTGTCTCAAACAGTTGCAACATGTGCACAGGTGGAGGCGGCACATTGTCAACATCGTGCTCTCGCCTTGGCGCCTCGCACAAATGTTGTTAAACTACTGATGGAAAGCGGATACTTTTCAAAACGGGCCTATCGCATGGAAAAACACCAGCACAAGTACACACTTGCGCAACAACTACATGGATGGACGGCGGATTCTTCTCAAAAAATGGAGCTGTCGCATATGTCTAAAATGCTATCCCCAGCAACAGTGACACCAATGCAGGGCGGTTCCTTTTTGAAGCGGAGCTGTCGCAGGACACCTCCTTAACCTCTGTGGATTCACCTATGGCTGGAGGGGTGTTCCTTTTAAACACGGAGCTCCCGCCTGAATGGAGGACCAATGGGGCGCTCATCTCTGAACGGGGCGTCTCACAAAGAGAACATTATGACCGCAGGGATTTACGAGGAGGGGGAGTTATACGAGAGAGGCATCGTTGATACAGATTGGACTTAATCTGGTCCTCCGGCGACGAAGACGACGACGACGGCGACGGCAAGGACAACGGCAGCGGCGGCGGCGTCGGCGGCGACGACGACGACGACCACGACGACGAGCACGACGACGACGACGACGACGACGACGACGACGACGACGACGACGACGACGACGACGACGACGACGGCGGCGGCGGCGGCGGCGGCGGCGGCGGCGGCGACGACGACACCCGGGAGGCGAGGCCTCGATCGCGGCCTCCTCGCCCACGGCCTGGAAATGCTCCTCGGCGGCCTCCCGGCCAGCGCCGCCCCGCTGGGAAGGGCCCCGCGGCCTCCCCGCCCGCGGCTAACTTCCCGGCCTCCTCCTCCTCCTCCTCCTCCTCCTCCTTCACCTCCCTCCTACCTTCCTCCTCCTCCTCCTCCTCCTCCCCTCCCTCACCTCTCCTCTCATCACTTCCTCCTCCTCCTCCGCCTCCTCCTCCTCCTCCTCCTTCTCCTCCTCCTCCTCCCCCTCCTCCATTGCAAAGCCGGCCCACGTTACAGCGCGATTCCTGCATACAAAGTGAAGACTTCCCGCGAGAGAGCGCAATGTTGGAATATATGGCGGGGAAGTTTCAGGCGGGAGCCGTTGTTGTTGTAGTTCGGGGCCCAACAATGCAGTTTGGTGGCACCAGTCTTTTTTGTTGGTAAAACACCAGGTGCGAGTCAGGGGAGGAGCACTTTAATTGAAAAAGACCATCCATGTACAGCGCTGGGGAGACCAACAATAATTATTCTATAAATGAACATTCATCTTCAACAACGACGACGACGACGACAACAACAATAAAAGCCACAACACCATCAACAGGCAGCAGCAGCAGCAACAAATTATCCCAGTGCGACCCTACCTAGGAGTTGGAGCCCCTAAGAGAGCAGCATTAGTAGTAACGGTAAAGCCATGTTAAAGCTAAGCTAAAGCTAAGCTAAAGCTAAGCTAAAGCTAAGCTAAAACTCAGCTAAAGCTCAGCTAAAGCCAAGCTAAAGCTAAGCTAAAGCTCAGCTAAAGCCAAGCTAAAGCTAAGCTAAAGCTAAGC